TTTCTGAAGAAGGGTCTAGACCCGAAACGTCAGCTTTCCTGCTCCTCTGATGCTGCTTGGCCTGCTGTATTCATCCAGCTCTACACCTTGTTATCTCAGACTAGGAGTTGAGTCTGTCTCAGGTTAAACTCACCACCAGTCGTCTCTCTCCCTCTCTATTGGGAGAACAGCCCAATGGTTCTTTGAGACGATGGCAACTACTCCTGCAGTGGAGAGGCAGAGCGCTACAAAAGGAACTAAATTGTACTTGAACTATTTACCAAAAGACCATAAGATATAGCAACAGAATTAGATCATTCAGTTCATCAGGTTTGCTCCACCATTCCGTCATGGCTGATATGTTTCTCATTCTCCTGCCTTCTCCCCAAAACCCTTGATCCCCTTACTAATCGAGAAATTTCTATCTCTGTCTGAAAGACACTCAATAATTTGGTCTCCACAGCCCTCTGCAACCATGAGTTCCTGAGGTTAACCACCCTCTGGCAATAGATATTCCTTCTCATCTCAAGTCTAAAGGGTTTTCCCTTCACTCTGATGCTGTACCAGGTCCTAGTCTCTCGTACTTGTGGAAATATCTTCTCCATGTCCACTCTAGCCGGGCCTCTCAGTATTCTGTAAGTTTCAGTCAGATCCCACACTCCACCATCCTTCTAAACTCCATTGAGTACAGATGCAGGGTCCTCCGACACTCCTCATATGACAAGCCCTTCATCCCTGCGATCATTCTTGTTAGCCTTCTCTGGTTCCCTCCAACACTAGCATATCTTTCCTTAGATACAGGCCCAAAACTGCTCACAATACTCCAAATGCGGTCTGACCGGCTTTTATAGCCTCAGCAGTACATCTCTGCTCTTGTTTTCTTGCCCTCTTGAAATGAATGCGTACTTGCATTTGCCTTCCTAACCACCATCTGAACGTGTATGTTAACCTTAGAGAATCCTGAACTAGAACTCACAACTCCCTTTGTGTGTCAGATTTCTGAAGGTTTTCCCTGTTTAGAAAATAGTCTATGCCTCTACTCATCCAACCAAGATGCATAACCTCACACTTTCCCATACAGTACTCCACCTATGACTTCTTTATCCATTCTCCTAACCTGTCAAAGTCATTCTGCAGCCTTCCCACTTCCTCAATATGACCTGTCCCTCCATTTATAATTGTGTCATGTGCAAACTTAGCAACAATGCCCTCAATTTGTTTTTCCAGGTCGTTAATGTATAAGATGAATAGTTGTGGTCTCAACACTGACCGCTGCTGAACTCCACTCGTCACCAGTTGCCATCCTGAAAAAGACCCCTTTATTGCAATTCTCTGCCTTCTCCAGGCAGCCAATTCTCAATCCACACCAGTACCTTGCCACTAACACCATTGATTCCTATGTTATTTAGCAGCTTCCCATACGCACCTTGTCAAATGCCTTCAGGAAATTCAAACAGATCACATTCACTGGCTCTCCTTTCTCTAACTTACTCGTTATTTCCTCAAAGAAATCTAACGGATTTGTCAGGCATGATTACCTGTCGACAAAGCCGTGCTGACTCTTCCAAGTACTCTGGGATGACATCCTTACAGTGACCTGCCACACTGTGTTTAACACAAAGCTGATTTATTTGGCTTTTATCCAGAATATTAAAACTTTGCTTTCAGTCCTGAATTTGATGAACAGCAAAGTCCAACCGCTGTTGAGATGTATAAACTCTGCGCTGTCTCAGCAAGGTCGAAGAGTCAGTGAATTTCTTCTGCTCCATGGAGCAGGTGAACGGTCCGTCCCCCAGTGTGATCTCTCTGCTATCTCAGCAGGGTCACTGAGTGAACTGTTTTTCTCACATGGAGCAGGTAAATGCTTTCTTCCCAATGTGAACTCGCTGGTGTACGGAGAGTTGAGATGATTGCCTGAACCCAGTCTGACAGCGAAAGCAACCTGAAAGGTCTCTCATCATGTGAACACGTTGATGGGACATGAGTTCCACAGAACTTTGGTGGCACTTCCCACAGACTAGACATTTGAAAGGTCTGTCCTCAATGTGAACACATTGATGATAAAATAGTCCCCACAAACTTATAAAGCGATTCCAACAGTCTGAGCATTTAAAAGGTCTCTCGTCAGTGTGAACACGTTGATGACAAGTCATGTCCCAAGGACTTGTGTAGCACTTCCCATAGTCTGTGCATTTACAAGATCTCTCCGCAGCGTGAATTTGGTGGTGTTTGAGCAGGTTGGACAACCGAGTAAATCCCCTCCCACACTCGGAGCAACTGAACCTTCTCTTTCCATTGTGAATCTGTTGGTCCTCCACGAGGTCAGATGATCACCTAAAGCCAGTCCCGCAAAGAGAGCACCTGAACAGTCTCTCCTCAGAGTGAAAACGTTGATGGGACATCAGGTCCCTGGAGGTTTTGTAGCATTTCCCACAGGCAGGCTATTTAAACAGTCTCATTATTGTGAGCAAATTGATGGGACATCAGATCCCTGGGACTTTTATAGCACATCCCACAGTCCAGGCATTTAAAAGGTCTCTCCTCTGTGTGAGCACGTTGATGGGATGTCAAGTCCCCAGAGGTTTTATAACATTTTCCACAGTCTGGACATTTAGAAGGTCTGTCATTTATATGAGCTAATTGATGGGATGTCAAGTCCTGTTGAAGTTTTAAAGCATTCTAAACAGTCTGGGCATTTAAAAGATCTGTCCTCAGTGTGAACAAATTAATGGCACAGCAGTCCCCCAGAATTTTTACAGCACTTCCCTCAGTCTGGTCATTGAAATGGTCTCTCCTCAGTGTGAACGAGCTGATTTGAACTGTTCCTCATGTGGTGCCTTCAACCTTTAGCCGCCAAGGCCATAAACTGTGAAACCTCTTCACTAAACCTCTCCCTCTCTGGCGCTCAGTTTTGCATTTTAAAATACTCGTTGAAAACTACATATTTGACTATAAAACATTTTGTCACTTCCCTAATATCTCATTATGTGACTGGGGTCAAAAGTTGCTTCATAATACTCCCAAAGAATAGCTTGGAAGTTTCCATTATGTGAAAGTCACGATATTAATATAAATTAATTGTCACTGATTTGGACATATATCACAGTCCCTTCGTCATCACTTGACAAATAACTCCTTACCCAACGGCATTTTTGTGAGCTACTAAGGGAAGGTAATTGCCAGCAGCAAATGGTCAGGCAAATATCAGCTGTAAAAACACCATTTACAGAGTCAATGGCATTAATGATAAAATACCTAAGTCAGCTACAACCATTATTGGAGGCAGCGGAAGTTCTACAATAACAGAGGGTTGATCAGGGAGAGCAGAGAACAGCACAATGGATGGACATTGATTGAGATCCACAGTAGAGGGGTTGCACCAGCCCCAGAGCCATGTCACACTTTCACAGATAACTAAGAACAGCACTAGAAGCTGAATTATATAGGCTACTAGTTAAAAATACAGAAATAATTTCATTGTTTTCAACTTTAAAATCAAATGCCGGAGTCTGCAGCTCGAAAGAAATCAGAAGCACTGGGGTTAGAGGACACTCTCACAGTTGAGTAAATACCTGGGAATCAGGGTGATGTTACTGAGCAAGTGCCTGTGTGCCATAACATAACCCACATAAACACAGAGCATTTAGGTCTGCACAAACAAGTGATCACCACGAAGGATGTGAGGGTCTGTGGAGCGATTTAAAAGGAGATTTATCAGAATGGTTCAAGGAATGAGGGATATTAGTTGTAAGGTCAGGTTGGAGAAACTGAAGTTGTTCTGCACAGACCAAAGGAGATTGAGGTGAGATTTGATAAAGGTGTCTAGGTTTATGATAGGTTTAGATAAGATAGATAAAGTGCAGCTGTACCCATTAGCTGATAGTAAAAGTATTAGGGACACAGAGACGAAAGGAAGGAATTTTATATTACTTTTATTTTACTCAATACTTACATTCAAAGGCCAATAATATCCAGAGCTGAATGAATAATGAATTAAGTGGCACACTCAAATCTTGGTATGTTATTTGGTTTGAGTTTCTTATCTGCAAATCCTCTTCTAACATGCTGTAAAATAAGTTTACAAAAGCCATCTCAGTCAGTTCAGGACAGGAATTCAGAAGAGACAAATATTTCTGTTATTTGGCGTTTGTTGTGTGTAAATACTCCCTTCCCAACTCCTTCTAAAAAGAGATTATTAACTCCATTCCTGTCAGTCCAGGAAAAACATTCACAACATTCTCTCCCTGGCCCAGGATGACCGCACATGCACACTGCTGCCCTTTGCCTCCTATGAAGAAGGTGGCCGTAACCTAGGGTGTCTTGCTGAAAGGAAGCCTTGATTCTTCCCATTTTGTAAAACAGGAGTAGATAATTTCTTCGTATGGGGTCTACCACATCCGCAAAATGTTTACGAGGCGTTTCCATCTAACTGCCCAGTCCATCGACCCCTTTGTTCTGCCTCGTCGTTACCTTCTGTGGAGCTGAAGAAAAGAGGGACAACTCCTCAGGATCGCTCCCACTGCACATGCTCTAAACTGTGGTCAGGCAGGGAAAGTACTGAACATACGCAGTGATAAGCAAGTCTGTGCATATACATTCACCAGCGCTCGGAATTCTGTTACGTTACCACCGTTGTAGATTTTAAATTTATTTACTGTTATGTGTACAAGCAATCTTTCTATTGATCTCCTACAAGGACAACTGATATATGTAATAAATATAATAGAGAATAAAATGTTCCTTTGGGAATCCCAGGGATATAATATCACAAAGTCTGACACTGAGCCACACATTAAATAGTAAAGTCACCATACTCATTCTGGATCAAAGGGCTGTTTCTTATTGGACATAGACAACTGGCAGTGGTTTAACCTGAGGGACAGCACACCTCAGCAAGGGAGACACCTTGATCCAGGGTCTGAGCTAAGAACCTTCATCATTGGAAGCTCTTGAGATCTAGCTGCTCTACACCAACATAGTTAGTGCAGTCTCAATCAATGGGTGGGAATCAGAAAGCTTCCCAATCTTATCTGGAGTCAGGCAGGGCTGCCCATTATCTCCTGCCTTGTTTGTGTGTTGCATAGAGCCCTTTGCTGAGTCCATCAGGAAGGATATGAGCCTAAGAGGGGCGACTATTCCAGGTAGCAGAGGCCTGCAGCTCAAAGCCTCCCTGTACATGGACGACATCACTGTTTTCTGCTCAGTTCCTCTGTGCAGACACATGAGCATCTGCAACCAATTTGAACTGGCCTCCGGAGCCAAGGTAAATCAAGGCAAGAGCAAGGCAATGTTCTTTGACAACTAGGCTGACTGATCCTCTATCACCTTCACTGTCAGCACAAATTACCTGAAGGTGCTCAGAATATGGTTCAGAAGGGCCAGGGCATGCACAAAATCTTGGGAGGAGCACATCGCCAAATTGAAGCAGAAACTGATCTCTTAGGAGCACCACTCCCTCTCCATTGCAGGTAAAATCCTGGTCATCAGGTTGTTGTACATGACGCAGGTCCGGCCCATTTCCCAAAACCATGCTGTTTCAGTTACCTGAACCATCTTCTCTTTATCTGGCAGTCTAATATGGACCATGTCTACAGGGACTCCATTTATAAAACTCTGGATGGTGGGGGGGAAGAACATATCCAACGTTGCCCTCATCCTGATTGCCATCTTTGTGTGTGACTGCATCAAGCTGTGAGTAGACCCGTGGTACACAAACACCAAGTGTCATTATGTGCTGAGATTCTACCTGTCCCCAGTGTAGGGAAGGATGGCACTGGCCTCGTTGCTGCAGAATGTTCCAAGTAGTTGGACCATTCCATATCACTTGTCCTTCATGGAGATATTTGCAAAGAAAAACACTTGTTGCCACAAGTCCATCAGGAAGTGGTCAGCACTTAGTGTCCTTGAGACCCCGAAAGAAAAGGAGAGGGTAGATCCTGTGGATGCCTCATCATCAGAACTTTCCAACAAGCACCAATACATTGCTTGGCTGATGGTGAGAAGGCACTACCTGTGAGATCCTTCATGTACGCCTGGTCGGTCTGTGCCACTGCAGCTGCCCTCAAAGCAGACGTAGGAGTTTGATTCTGTCACACATGGCCTCCTTGAGTATGCCTTTGCAAAGGGAGTTTGGAAAAAGATGCAGTGGTTTCTGTTGAGGTTCGTCCCAAGCAGATCCGTGACGCCGGACTCTGTGCTGTACTGTCTGTTGCCTGGGACGCATACCGAGACAAACATCCGCATCGACAAGGACCATCAACTTGGTGGAAGATGCTGTCTGGTTCTGTCTGAAACTTGTTGGTCTTCCAGAACAAGGAATTAACCTTGACTGATTGTTGCAGACTGGCCCATTCCGAGGTCCAGGACTATGTACTGAGGGATGCAGTAAAGCTTGTGGCAGCTGCCACCAAGGTGCAGTGGAGAAAGACCACTACCTGAGGTCTTTCTGCTGAAGTTAATTGGGAGGCCATTCAGTTATCGCACCATCCTAGTACCTCAGTGCATGTAAATATGGTATTATATGTGTAAGAGATGCCCTTGGTTTGTTGGGATAGAGTCAAATTCAAATGTCCTGGATATGCTAATGTACAGAACCAAACTGCGTTTGTGACTGCGTACATATACAAAGATTTCTATATGAATAAAGTATATTTTTGAAATGTAAAAAAATCCACACCTCAGAGAGACTGAAAAGGGGAGTCATTAGCAGTAACCTCAGACAGTGTGGGATTTGAACTCAGACTGTTAGCATCACGATGAAAACTGGCAAATGGATCCGATAAAGAGTTTGGCTTCCAGAACTGTCTTCAAGGAAGAAAATGCAGAATTCATGTTCCAGCAAACAGCAATGTTTCCTGCCATTGACTGAGGGAGCTGTTGTTGTTTCACTGAAGCCCTCATGACATTGAATAACTATTTAGATGAGCTCTTGAAACATCAGAGCACACAAGGTTATGGGCTGTAAACTGGGTTTAGAAGCAAGATGATTGATGACTAGCATCGATATAATGGGCCAAAGGGCCTCTGTCCATGCTGTTAAAAGATCAGTGACTCTCTATCATTTTCCAACTGAAAAAATAAGTCAAAAGCAGTGTCAATAAGGAAAGTTGCATGTGCCTTCTTTGGTGCTCTACTAGTTAGGATTCAGTACTCTCACTGATGTTTCCTGGGTAGGGAATGAGGATTTATTGTTCCTGTACGAATTCTTAAAATGAACATGAATTCCTGACATTAAAAGCAGCAAGGGGAGCAGCTCTGTCAGAATCAGTGAGAGTTTCTCATCAGAGATGAAAGCAAATGGGAGGAAATCCATGCCTTTGCCTGTTTGGCCAAAGTTCCCCAAAAACACACTTGCTCCTTATTGAAATATATAGGTTTTTTTCTGAGATTTAATGGGGTTTGATGCAAAAAGGTTGGTTCCCTTCTGGGAGAATCAAGGGCCAAAGTGCCTAATATCAGAATTCTTTACAGCAGAGGGATGTCGAGGCTGGATCATTTTCAAAACTGAGATCGACAGATTTTTAATCAGTAAAAGTATCAAGGGTCATGGGGATAGGCAAGAAAGTGCAGTTCAGGATTATCAGATCAGACATGACCTCATTGAATAGTGGGACAGACTTGATTGGCTGAATGTTCTCTTTCTGCTCCTAAAATTTATGGTCTCAATATGAGGCTGCAAAACCAACCTAAGTAAAATTTGCCATTTTAAAAATGTGTGGATCCCCTCAGGGCACCAAACCGAGGTGAGATGTGCAAAGGGCAACACACAGAGTCATTGTGGGTGATTGATCTGGAGGGATCTGTATTCCAGCATAAGCAGCAAAAACTGGTCTTCAGTACCCACATTTAGCCTGGCTCCACTAGGCCTCCAGTCAACTCTCACAAACCACCATCGCACTTCACTTTTTCTGAGGTCCCTCCTGTTCTTGTTTTAAACCAATTGCACATCAGGCAATCGCAGCTAACATTACTGATGTGGAACTGTAACACGCAGTGAAGTGATTCTGACTGGTCCACGACATAATTCTGCTTCTAAAGATCAGTCAGTATTTCATTTTTATTACTATAAATGTTAACTATCAACAGGCCATTGCTGTGAAAGCACTCAATCCTAATCACTAGACTAACAGGGAAGATCTCTGTTTATATCACCCTCGACACTGTCTGATTTGGCATTGGATTCTTCCATCCTTCTGCACATGATCCCCTTGGCTTTGTCTCAGTTTTGTTAGATTGTCTTGGTGTGTGATACACAGGCTATCCAGTCATCTATTACACTGCAGTTTCTAATACATGAGACCTTCTGTTAGAGTACACAGTGCCAGTTCAGTAGTTAGAGCGCTGGTCTTGTAAACCTGTGGTTGTGAGTTTGATTCTCATTGGGGCCTGTGAGAATTTTCATATACCTGCTGCATCCAACATCTATAAGAGCACTTTAAATGTCTGATGAAACAGCATTAACAGCATGATGTCATTTCCCCCACAGGCTAGAAATGGTTTTGAAAATACCACACTCCTGTTAGTCCTTACAGGAACTACAGGAAGACTATTCGGAAGGACAGGAAGCAGCTATTGTGAGCAATACTCCAGTTTGACAGGAAGAACAAAGTCAGGCAGTATACACTGCAGCGTGACGGGGTAACAACTGGGGAGTAACACGGACAGGGGAGCGGCCAAATGCTTCCTTTCTTTGCTGTAACCAGATTCTGGTTTGGAAGTCTAAAATGGGACAATATAAGCCAAGTGGGTGAAATCCTTGCTTTCTGGGGTTTAGTCTCTCCTGAGGCCTCTGTCACTCTTAGGGGAATATGTCTGTATGTTTCCCCCTGTGGGTGAAAATGAGGTTCATTTCCAAGGGGGTGTAAACACACTTTTACCATCTCAAACTTCAATCCCATTCATTGTGTCATTTGAGATTAAAACGTTACAGGGAAAATATCATTGAGATGAACACTTAAAATGTCAGAGAACACAAGGCTGTAGGCCAAGTGCTGGAAACTGGAATGCTGGGCCTCCTTTCATGCTGTAAAAACTCGATGATTCAATCATTTTGGAGGAGAAACTTA